ACCTTGAGGAGTGTAGCAGTCATCATGACTGTTTTGACTCTGCCACTAAACCTGAAAATGAAAGATACTCACGACTCAATACGTCCGACTTTACTCCTATGAAGAGGAGAGAAAAAAAGCACAAGGTCAGACAAGCTTGAAGACACTTTAAAGAAAAAAAAAACCACACAGTCTAAAATCAATTTCCTCTTTGTGTCACTTCTGATTGTGGGACACACTTACCAAGAAGAGAAATAGTCCTTGGCAACATTGCTCTCCATCACCTGTGTTAATCCACCAGGTTCAGCCATCTCAATGCATATCTGAGAAAACAGAAAGATATTACATCAGTGACAGTACAATTGTTTTCTTCCTGAGGAAATTTGAGCAACACAGTGGTACTCAAAGGGTGCGCTACAGGCCCAATTTGTGAAAGTAACAGGACAGAGGTCCTGGCGAGTTTCTTTACTGCCCTGTACGATGGTACAACTTTTTGGTAAAAGAACAAAAAAAATCTTGGTGTTTCAAACTTGCAAATGGAAAATAAGCGCAAACATATTTCTTTACTTTTGCAAGTTTTTGATTGAACAAAAAAACCACGGAACAAGAAACAATAAAAGAATAACTTAGTGCTGCCTCAAACTGCAGGCATCTTCCCTGCTAGATGGGCCAGGACGAAAGGCTGAACAGGTCATAAGATTATCACTTGGTTGAGAACTTAGTGCATTTCAGGCAGTCCTTCACCAGTATTTGCAAAGGCATGTAAAATTCAGATTGCCTGCCGCAGGGACTGTCTGTACATGGAATATTTAAACTTGCTCAACTAGTGTTAAAAAAACAAAGTCTCCTTCAGACTCATTTAAAAAGTTTCTCAATATTAAAAGAGCAGCAGACACCATAACAAGCCTTGCAGATGTAAAACATGAAAAAGTTGCAGGTGTTTATGAAATCGTACCCTGTTGGCGAGAGGCAAGAATCTGACAAAAGCAGCAATGGAAGCCACCACTTCCATGATCATCATGAGAAGGTCCACATTCACCTCGGAGACCTCCACAATCAGCAGCCGGTCCTCCAGAGACTCAGACTCTGGAACATGCTGAGAAACAACCAGTGTTAAGATCAGGGAGACCCGAGCCTGCTGCTTTTATAGGACAGATTTATGTGACTGCTGACTTACAGTGCTGCTCCATTTCATCATGCTTCTGTACATGCTCTCCTGTGAAAAGAGTAGAAGATGAAAGCGGATTACATCAATTACTGATCCTCTG